AAAAAAAAAAAAAAAAAAAAAAAAAGACAGGTTGTAAGTCTGAGCTGAGGGTAGTGAGTCCAAACAGCTGTTAAACAGGTAGTTTAAATGAGTAATCTCTACCTGAAAGCTGCCAGTGCTGTGTGGCCTCCTCCCATGCTTGCTTGATCTGGCCAAGCTTGCTGCTTTCTGCCCCCTGCTGGACTTTAAGAAACCCTGGGGCAGGGACAGTAGCCTGAGGCTGTGACAGGCCAAGGGACAGATGTGGACACAGAAAGCTACGGAAGGGTCTGCAGTGGGAGAAACATCTGTGTGCTGGCCTCTGGGCCAGACTACAGGGTTCAAATGCATCTCTGCCCTGCATGAGCAAGTTGAGAGGCTAAGTCACTCTACCTCAGTTTCCTTATTCAGAAAATGGAGTAAAAACAGTCCCACTGTGGAGGTTGGCAGTGATGACTAATTGATGCGTGGCAAAGTACTCTGAATCAGTGCCCGGCACAGGGGAAGGGCTGTGAAGTGACTGTTGTTCCTGTCACTGTGTCACTATTATTGTCAGTAGGAGTTGGCCTGGACCCTGAGCAGAAAGAAGGTGCCTGTGGTGAGCAGTAGGGGCCACCATTCACACAGTGACATGAACACCATGTGCACCCTTAATGGCAGACAAATAAAGTGTAGTTTAGAATCCAAGGTCAGGGCTTTGAAGGCCACACCAAGAAGTTTTGACTTTATCTCAGTAAAGTGAAACAAAGCAGTCATTGAAGATTTAAGGCAGAAGGCAGACTTTTGGATTTTAGAGAAGGTACTGGAAAACCACAGCAACGGACTAAATCCTTGTTTTGGCACAACTCATGAGCTAAAAATGTTCTTTTGTTTTCTTATTTGGTTGGTGTGCTTCTGGGAATGATCCCAGGCCATGCACATGCTAGCCAACCAGCCTACCACTGCCATACATCTCATATCTGGCTCATTTTTATTTCCTTATACAAAATACCATGATTTTATTATCAACCACAAATAAACATTTTTCACACTGGACACTTATTTTTGCATTGCTGGGGATTGAATCCAAGTCCTCACCTGTGT